CTTTCCAGGATTTTCATATCTTCAGGACTTGTCCCAGCAACTACGTGAATGGGAGTTGCAACGAAGGCAAGCGTCATCAATCGCTGCGGATCCCTCCCGATCAGAACGTCACCTGGTTAAGGAGTCCTCAACGAGAGTAGTCATGATCGTGTCCCTTTGAGGTGGGGGTGGGTCCACATCAATACGAGGGTCGTATGGGAAGTTCTTGAGGGAGTAGTTCCACCGTTCCTGGTGTAGTAAAGCTCTCTCTTGGACTGGCGTTTTTCAACTTTGATGGGAAGTAAGTAAAGAGGGTTAAATTAGACTCTGAAGTAGGAGGAGTTGTGTCTCAGGCACCTGTGGAGAGAGCCGTGATTAACAACAGATTCTCCTCATCGCATGAACGCAATGAGGAGAGCCGCTCTTGACTAAGGAAAAGGAAGTCTCAGACTAAGGAAAATCAATTTCGCTCTGTGAATTCTGAAATATTCAGGATTTCGAAAGTTCCACTAGTTGTGCTTACACAGAGTTATAGCTCTCCAATCAATTAATTGAATGAGTGACTATGGGAGTCTCTAATAACTTAAGGAGGGCATTTCACAGCCTCTTAGTTCGAGAATAGAAGCACCATCTTCAAGATAGAGCTACTGATTTTCAAATTGGCTCACCCACCCCGGAACACCTTTCCTTCTGAGTTTGGACAGAACTCTCTCCTCAGCTACCGTAATTTTAGTTTAGCACCAGAAGTGTCCCAAACGCCCCCTATTTTGACGAGGACCACTTCGCTGTTTGACCAATAGTTAGTGAGTGCCTTCACAGATCGGCTTGGTGTATCCAACGGGCTCATCAGAGAACGAGGCTTGAAGAACTAATGGAAAAGCGAGTTTTCAGAGTTCTATCTATAAAAACCGTTTTGAAAAGTCTATACTTGTGAATGTACAAAGAGGTAAGATACAACCAAGAAGTTGTAGGTCATGAATCATTTACGATACTTTTCCAAAGGGAGGCTGATAAGAGTTGACCTCGACGGTGCTGGATGGAGAAACTGACAAATTACGAAAACCATCGCTGAAAGGCGTGTTCAACCGTCTCGCCCTTACCCGCCCCTTCACCTGCACATATACAAATCGCTTGGTTGTGATATTATTTTCCGCTCTGCGAAGAACACCAGGACTGGAAAAGCCTAATCGTAGGCATATTCAGAAGACACTGAGAACGTTAGGTTTATTCAATAAGTGGTGCTCATGGTCATAGTGGTGAGGGCCTTTTGGGTTCATTTCTAAGATAGAAAACATATTTAGTAGCTGCAATGCTTGGGTTTGTTCGCTTATTACATCTCTGTAGAACTGGCAAAGTAGTCACCATCTTGGGCTAGGTACTATCACTAGAAAGGGGGATAATACTTGGTCTCCAAAGAAAAACAGTATTGTACTCTCTAACCCAGGACACATCGTTGGGGATTCCCAACAGGGAGGGATCGTGTCGCGCGGTCGTAGTGCTTTCTGAGAGAGATCGTTGATCTCTCTGGTTGTTCGTGGCCTCCTTTTCCATAGGTACTATATACTCTTTCGTGGGTTCTCCTGTTTCATATACAGGGGGGGCCAAAAAAAAGTCATTCCGGCCGAGTCACATATGAGCGAAGTTTTCGCAGCCCAGACAGAGGAAGTGGATATGAGTACCAGGGCGGAAGATACCCAAGATCTTCCTCTATAAGCAGGAGCCGGCTGCCGCCATTCACCTTCATGTACACCAAAATATGAAGTCATCTCCAGTCGCGGCCTGAGTGGAGAACGCCTTTGGAATTCACGTGGCCTCCAAACAGCTGCGGAACTTCTTGAATGGAATCACCCATGGATAGCTACCTGGAGACCAGTACTCTTGATCTGCAAGACCCCAAACATCGAGCAGCTCCGGCAACGTCGCTACGGTCCAGGACATCATCTTCACCCCATTCACCAAGGCGCGGGTTGATGGTGTGGACCGGCCGTACCTGGAATGGAAAGACCAATATTTTCTTCGTGGACCCCGGACTGAAGGTGAGCGCTGGCGGTTACATTGGGCAACTCGTGAAGAATATCCAGCTCACATGTGGTCGCCCGTACCTTCTTGGAAACTTTGTACTGCTACAGCATCGAGTGCCACCACATGAAATCGAAGGGCGTTGGAAAAACTTTCGCCTACTTGGAATGGAAGAACGTTGAGTACCTGGAAAAGATGGAGTATTTAAGCGGGGGTCCTGAACTAAACCCCCTCAATTACTCGGTTCGGGCGGAGCTCAACAGGGTGGTCTACAGTGGCGGAGAAATCAACGATCTCGCTCAACTCCGGTACCCACTCACTTTCGCGCGGCCGAATCTCTCGATGGCGCTCCTCCAGAAGGCTGTGGCATTTATAGTATTTAATGTGCTCTTTAATATGGTAGTAAAAATGTCCGATAAAAATTTAATAAAGTGTAACTTATAGCGCCTTGAAAGTCATGGAGGCAAAATGACTTTTTTTTGCCCCCCCCCCTGTATGTACTTCATATGCATGTACTATGAAGTCGACCACAATCCCTAATTAATGAAGGGCCCTGCTCCAGCCTTGGTGGCACTTTGGAGGCGTTCAACAGTCCCAGCCGTTATTTACTGAACAATACTGCCCAACGCTGCTCCTATTGCTTAGAAGAATAATGAACGTGGTAGGTAGCGTGAAGGTTACGACAGGTATCCGAGTAAGAAGTAACGTCCCAGGGTGAGTACTGAACTCAGCAATATTTTAGTTCGAAATTAGAATCAGAGAGGAGTCAATTTCCTATCAATCCATCTGCAACAGAAGCTAGGGCTCGCGTAAAAGTTTTGATGGATATTGGCAGATAGCGAAACGACGTGGAAGCTGCGCTTCTCGCGCTGACTCAGTACTGATCCTCACATCCCCAGAAGAACTGACTACTGACCAGCCGCATTAAGTACAAATGGGGCGTAGTTGGGGAAAATCCAGAGCGCTACGACTGCGTAGTTTAACGTACGACTGGTCTTTTGTGAAGTGTAGTTCGTGCCGCAAATTCGCGGTTTCGCTGAGGTCGTTGAAATGATGAATCGGGATCTTTAGCTAAACCTACACTCCGCCACTTGTCGCTTTGATGACTTAAGGTCCACAACCACAAATGTCGCACTCTCTTTGTGGTTCCTTTCTTTGTGGTTCCAAAGTTTGCTGCAACCGCGCTACAGGCTAATGACTTGGTCTCATCAGTTTCCTGGCCAGGGCACAGCATTGGTTGGGGATTCCCTATGGGGGGGGGTCGTACCAGCCCCTGAAAAAGGGGGGGGGTCGTAAAAGCTCGACCAAAATCCCCATCGAATGCTGTGCCCTGTTCCTGGCCGGTTCACGAGTAGACTGAGCATGCTGGTCCCGCGAGCTCGCTTTCTGTACTACTCCCTCAACGTTGTTAAAATAAGCTGCCACGAACTGGGCCTCATTTATGGTGCCTGCGATTCAGCTGTACCTTTTCTTTACTTTCGAGTCATTCAGCACGCTCAGCATACTGGTACTTGAACGCCACTACGGACAGCTTGGATTCGTGGAGCCTGTCCTTATCCTTAATGTTACGGAAATTTACAGTGTACACACACGGGAACAAATCAGAAGTCAATCGAATTCAGT